GATAGATAGATAGATAGATAGATAGATAGATAGATAGATAGATAGATAGATAGATAGATAGATAGATAGATAGATAGATAGATAGATAGATAGATAGATAGATAGATAGATAGATAGATAGATAGATAGATAGATAGATAGATAGCTAGATAGATAGATAGATAGATAGATAGATAGATAGATAGATAGATAGATAAGATAGATAGATAGATAGATAGATAGATAGATAGATAGATAGATAGATAGATAGATAGATAGATAGATAGATAGATAGATAGATAGATAGGTAGAGATAGATAGATAGATAGATAGATAGATAGATAGATAGATAGATAGATAGATAGATAGATAGATAGATAATAGATAGATAGATAGATAGATAGATAGATAGATAGATAGATAGATAGATAGATAGATAGATAGATAGATAGATAGCTAGATAGATAGATAGATAGATAGATAGATAGATAGATAGATAGATAGATAGATAGATAGCTAGATAGATAGATAGATAGATAGATAGAATAGATAGATAGCTAGATAGATAGATAGATAGATAGATAGATAGATAGATAGATAGCTAGATAGATAGATAGATAGATAGATAAGATAGATAGATAGATAGATAGATAGATAGATAGATAGATAGATAGATAGATAATAGATAGATAAGATAGATAGATAGATAGATAGATAGATAGATAGCTAGATAGATAGCTAGATAGATAGCTAGTAGATAGATAGATAGATAGATAGATAGATAGATAGATAGAAGATAGATAGATAGATAGATAGATAGATAGATAGATAGATAGATAGATAGATAGATAGATAGATAGATAGATATCTAAGGGTAAGGTCTCTTTCTGGGAATTATATAGACGACTCACCACCGCCACTTCGTTTTTCTTACACGACGGTGGCAATTTCTGTATATTTTTTCAGCCGGTCCATATATGAACAAGTATTTTGATTAAGTACCCGTGCTTTCTAATCTCTGACATTGGTGCCCCGTTGCGTAACTTCCGAAATGCCAATGTATCTACTGCGTTTTTACCACGCAGATAGGGTGGCTTCATAATTCCAAGATGGGGTCTTCCCCCCCGGGGTGATTTAAAAGAAATTCGCTCTATAAATAATAAAAAATAGCCAAAAGTTGTTAATGACTTGTACGTAACTTGCGTAACTTCCGAAATACCAAAGTATCTACTGCGTTTCTACCACGCAGATAGGGTGGCTTCATAATTCCAAGATGGGGTCTTCCCCCCGGGGTGATTTAAAAGAAAATCGCTCTATAAATAACAAAAAATAGCCAAAAGTTGTTAATGACTTGTACTTACACAAGTACTTACTTCTCAATTACTACTACATACTTTTAAGTACTCTAATAATTGCTTACATATAATTAAATGCGTAAGTACTTATTTTGAGTTTTGCCGTTTAATTATATAGAATAAATATAGAATTTCTATGTAATAACCATTATTTGTTGTTCACTGAAATATCTATAAAGTGGTGGACCAATTGACCCGGCATATTCTGTTTCGACCACTTTTTTTTTTGGTACACAAAACAAAACAACTTTTGTAATGACTTAATAATAACATCGCCGTGTCAAAATAATGAGTTAGAAAGTCAATGAATAAGTAGTGAAAAGTAATTTTAATAGCTTTTAAACTTTTTACTTTTCAATGTAAGTTTTTGCTGGGTATATATGTAAACTTTCATTTAAATGATATGTAATATAAATTAATGAACTTTATTAACTTGTTACAAAAGAAGTATTTAAATACTTAATAATTTTTATTGGCGACATAATTTAATTGGTATAAAAATTTTATTAAACGATTATTAAAAGAATCTTGCATATTTTATATTATTAACAACTTAATTGAAATCAGTTTTAGATAACATAGTTTTGACAACAAAAAGACCTAAATGATTTCTTAACAACTTTTCAAAACTAGTTTATTTTTAAAAATGAAAGTCCTAGATATTTCTGAAGGATCTTTTTTGATAACTATGTGATCAATGGTGATATTGATGTATATCTATGCTATAAAATCCGTTGTGATTTACACATAGGCTTTTTGTAAGTTAAACTATAACGATATCACTCTTTAAGGGAAGTATTGCTGACAAATTGATAGTATGCATCTCGACTTAGAAGCGAGCTGATTTTAAATATTTCGAAGACTGAAATCCATTATTGAAATTTTATGGAAATGAAGTTTCGCATAAAATATATTTAGTATTCCGAAACATATTTTATTTAGGAAACATTCCTAAATCTAAATACTATCCATTCTATATAAAAGAAACACTGGATATCTAAATACACTCAGTTAGCAGTTACATTCTACTTCGTTTAAAATGGGTTTAATTATATACGCAGTTGTTGTAATACTTTTCGTTTGGATTATACATCGTTGGAATTCCCGAGCCTTTGTGAGACTAGCTTATAAAGTACCCTCTAATAAATGGAATACATTTTTGGCTTGGGGTAAAATCATAAAGAGAAAAGGTAAGGATTAAAGGAAAGTAAAAAAAAAATTACCTGATCCTGCTAGTTATTGAGATCGCTTAATGGTCTTTATAGTAGTTATTCGTCACTCGAACGTTTAAGGACTCTTTCTGAATGAATTTTTTTTTTTTTTTTTTGTAATTTTCAGATATTCTATCATACATCTATGAAACTGCCAACAAATTAGGTTCAAATTGTGTAATTTGGGTAGGACCTTGGTCGATCTTTGTATCAGCTGAACCTCAACTAATAAAGGATATTCTCATGTCCAAAAACTGTATAAATAAACCAGACGCTGGTTATAAAGGCTTTTCTTCTGTATTCGGTGAAAGTTTAATATCCGAAAGTGGTATGTATAAAAAAGAAATCTATAAAATTTTATAAATCGATTAAAAATTATCGTAAATTTGCAGAACCTAATTGGAGTCGTCATCGTAAAGTATTGAATAAAGCATTTTCAGCGAAAACTTTGAATTCATTCTTTCCAATCTTTCATAAAGAGATTAACAAAGTTATAGCACAAATTCAGAGAAGTATAGAAAAGTCAGAGGACATTGATATGTTGAACATATTTCGGGAATTTACCTTGAAAAATTCAACAAGTAAGTCCTTATCTGGTAAAATGAATTCTCGAAGTTTGGTAAAAAACTAATTTAATTTTTTCTATAGAAACAACACTTAAAAGAAATTTAGAGCAAACTGAATTTAACTCGATTGTTATGTCAAAACATGTTCAAGGGTGAGAGAACTCTTCGAAGAAACATATTAAGATAAACGAAATTCTTAATCCAACTCATGATTTTCTTCTGATTTTAGAATTCTAGACTTTGCAGCTGAAGCTTGTGCTAGTCCAATTTTGTGCATTAAATGGATATGCAAACTGGCGGAAATCTCTATATATAAAAAAGCCGGTCAAGGTTTTAAACGAGTTTCGAAAACTTATTGATCAATCTGTGGATATATTGAAAAATAATAGAATATCTGATCCTAGCTATTTACACGAAGTAAATAGTGTTTTAGATTATGCTTTAATCGGCGTACAGCAGAATACTCTAAGAGTAAAAGAAATAGAAAGTCTAATGCTGCACTTGTTTTTTGGGGTAAGTTAAAATGGTTTTTTGAATAGAAAAAATCGTTGAAAACATCTTTCCAAAGGCTTTTGAAACCACATCTACTGCATTATATTTGGTAATTACGTTACTGGCCATGCATCCGCAGTATCAGGAACGTGTTTTTGAAGAAGTTATAAGTATATTACCATCTGATGACCACGAAATTACATTGGACATAATGGATCAATTGACCTATTTAGACATGGTTATAAATGAAACATTGCGAGTTTTACCCGTAGTACCGACGGCGTTTCGAAAAGTTTCAAATGAAGATCTCACTCTAAGCAATGGTTTGACATTACCGGTTGGCCAATTTATTTGTATTGACATCTTTCGTCTGCATCGTAGTAAAGATCTTTATGGTCCCCATGCACATATGTTCAATCCCGATAATTTTCTACCTTCAAATGTTGCCGCAAGACATCCATTCTCGTTTATACCTTTCACAAAAGGTCAAAGGTTTTGTATTGGTAAGTAATGGGGAAGTGTCTGCAACACAAATCCTTTTTATAAAGTTTATTTCTATTAAAGGTTGGAGATATGCTGAAATATTTCTAAAAATTTCTCTGCAAAACTTATAAAAACGTTCAAATTTACAACAGATTTTAAGTATGAAGATTTAATTCCCGAAAATCACATTTCACTAAAATTGGTGGAAGAACCACGTCTTCATATAGAAAAACGAGAAGTTCGAGAATTGTAAAACAATGAGGAAAAGGGAAAATAAAGATAGGGGGGTTAGAGAAAAAAACAATTGTTTTAAAGAAGAACTAGAGGAACGGACTAAGAACGAACGAACTAACGAAACGAACGAACGAACGAACGAACGAACGAACGAAGAACGAACGAAACGAACGAACGGAACGAACGAACGAACGAACGAACGAACGAACGAACGAACGAACGAAAACGAACGAACGAACGAAGAACGAACGAACGAACGAACGAACTAACGAACGAAACGAACGAACGAACGAACGAACGAAACGAACGAACGAAACGAAACGAACGAACGAACGAACGAACGAACGAACGAACGAACGAACGAAAACGAACGAACAACGAACGAACGAACGAACGAACGAACGAACGAAGAACGAAAACGAACGAACGAACGAACGAACGAACGAACGAACGAACGAACGAACGAACGAACGAACGAACGAACGAACGAACGAACGAACAAAACGAAACGAACGAACGAACGAACGAACGAAACGAACGAACGAACGAACGAACGAACGAACGAACGAACGAACGAACGAACGAACGAACGAACGAACGAACGAACGAACGAACGAAACGAACGAACGAACGAACGAACGAACTAACGAACGAACGAACAAACGAACGAACGAACGAACGAACGAACGAACGAACGAACGAACGAACGAACGAACGAAAAACGAACAACGAACGAAAAAAAAAAAAAAAAACGAACGAACGAACGAACTAACGAACGAACGAACGAACACGAACGAACGAACGAACGAACGAACGAACGAACGAAACGAACGAACGAACGAACGAACGAACGAAAGAACGAACGAACGAACGAACGACCGAACGAACGAACGAACGAACGAACGAACGAACGAACGAACGAACGAAGAACGAACTAACGAACGAACGAACGAACGAACGAACGAACGAAGAACGAACGAACGAACGAACGAACGAACGAACGAACGAACGAACGAACGAACGAACGAACGAACGAACGAACGAACGAACGAACGAACGAAACGAACGAACGAACGAACGAACGAACGAACGAACGAACGAACGAACGAACGAACGAACGAACGAACGAACGAACGAACGAACGAACGAACGAACGAACGAACGAACGAAGAACGAACGAACGAACGAACGAACGAACGAACGAACGAACGAACGAACGAACGAAACGAACGAACGAACGAACAACGAACGAACGAACGAACGAACGAACGAACGAACGAACGAACGAACGAACGAACGAACGAACGACGAACGAACGAACTAACGAACGAACGAACGAACGAACGAACGAACGAACGAACGAACGAACGAACGAACGAACGAACGAACGAACGAACGAACGAACGAACGAACGAACGAACGAACGAACGAACGAACGAACGAACGAAAACGAACGAAAACGAACGAACGAACGAAACGAACGAAACGAACGAACGAACGAACAACGAACGAACGAACGAACAACGAACGAACGAACGAACGAAACGAACGAACGAACGAACGAACGAACGAACGAACGAACGAACGAACGAACGAACGACAACGAACAACGAACGAACTAACGAACGAACGAACGACATAACGAAAAAACGAAACGAACGAACGAACGAACGAAAACGAACGAACGAACGAACGAACGAACGAACGAACGAACACTAACGAACGAACGAACGAACGAAACGAACTAACGAACGAACTAACGAAAACTAACGAACGAAACAACGAACGAACGAACTAACGAACGAACTAACTAAAAAACACTAACGAACTAACGAACAACTAAACTAACTAAAACGAACGAAACGAACGAACTAACGAACTAACGAACGAACAATAACGAACTAACGAACGAACGAAACTAACGAACGAAAACGAACTAACAACTAACTAACTAACTAACTAACTAACTAACTAACTAACTAACTAACTAACTAACTAACTAACTAACTAACTAACTAACTAACTAACTAACTAATACTAATACTCTAAGAGTAAAAGAAATAGAAAGTCTAATGCTGCACTTGTTTTTTGGGGTAAGTTAAAAATGGTTTTTTGAATAGAAAAAATCGTTGAAAACATCTTTCCAAAGGCTTTTGAAACCACATCTACTGCATTATATTTGGTAATTACGTTACTGGCCATGCATCCGCAGTATCAGGAACGTGTTTTTGAAGAAGTTATAAGTATATTACCATCTGATGACCACGAAATTACATTGGACATAATGGATCAATTGACCTATTTAGACATGGTTATAAATGAAACATTGCGAGTTTTACCCGTAGTACCGACGGCGTTTCGAAAAGTTTCAAATGAAGATCTCACTCTAAGCAATGGTTTGACATTACCGGTTGGCCAATTATTTGTATTGACATCTTTCGTCTGCATCGTAGTAAAGATCTTTATGGTCCCCATGCACATATGTTCAATCCCGATAATTTTCTACCTTCAAATGTTGCCGCAAGACATCCATTCTCGTTTATACCTTTCACAAAAGGTCAAAGGTTTGTATTGGTAAGTAATGGGGAAGTGTCTGCAACACAAATCCTTTTTATAAAGTTTATTTCTATTAAAGGTTGGAGATATGCTGAAATATTTCTAAAAATTTCTCTGGCAAAACTTATAAAAACGTTTCAAATTTACAACAGATTTTAAGTATGAAGATTTAATTCCCGAAATCACATTTCACTAAAATTGGTGGGAAGAACCACGTCGTTCAGAGTAGAAAAACGAGAAGGGCGAGAAGGGGAAACAAGGGGAGGAAAAGGGAAAAGATAAGAGAGGGGGGGAGAGAAAAAAGCATCAGAAGGGGAGGGGGGAAAGAAGAAGACGGAACGGACGAACGAACGAACGAACGAACGACCGAACGAACGAACGAAACAACGAAACGAACGAACGAACGAACGAACGAACGAACGAACGAACGAACGAACGAACGAACGAAACGAACGAACGAACGAACGAACGAAAACGAACGAACGAACGAACGAACGAACGAACGACGAACGAACGAACGAACGAACGAACGAACGAACGAACGAACGAACGAAGAACGAACGAACGAACGAAAACGAACGAACGAACGAACGAACGAACGAACGAACGAACGAACGAACGAACGAACGAACGAACGAACGAAAGAACGAACGAAAACGAACGAACGAACGAACGAACGAACGAACGAACGAACGAACGAACGAACGAACGAACGAACGAACGAACGAACGAACGAACGAACGAACGAACGAAAGAACGAACGAACGAAACGAACGAACGAACGAACGAACGAACGAACGAAGAACGAACGAAACGAACGAACGAACGAACGAACGAACGAACGAACGAACGAACGAACGAACGAAGAACAACGAACGAACGAACGAACGAACGAACGAACGAACGAACGAACGAACGAAACGAACGAACGAAACGAACGAAACGAAACGAACGAACGAACGAACGAACGAAACGAAGAACGAACTAACGAACGAACGACGAACGAACGAACGAACGAACGAACGAACGAACGAACGAACGAAGAACGAACTAACGAACGAACGAACGAACGAACGAACGAACGAACGAACGAAGAACGAACGAACGAACGAACGAACGAACGAACGAACGAACGAAGAACGAAACGAACGAACGAAACGAAGAACGAACGAACGAACGAACGAACGAACGAACAAACGACGAACGAAAGAAACGAACGAACGAACGAACGAACGAACGAACGAACGAACCGAACGAACGAACGAACGAACGACGAACGAACGAACGAACAACGGAACGAACGAACGAACTAACGAACGAACGAACGAACGAACGAACGAACGACGAACGAACGAACGCACGAACGAACGAACGAACGAACTAACGAACGAACGAACGAACGAACGAACTAAGAACGAACGAACGAACGAAACGAACTGAAACGAACGAAACGAACGAAACCGAACGAAAGAACGAACGAACGAACGAACTAACGTAACGAACTAACGAACTAACGAACTAACTAACTAACTAACGAACCTAACGAACTAACAACTAACGAACTAAACTAACTAACTAACTAACTAACTAACTAACTAACGAACTAACTAACTAACTAACTAACTAACCTAACAACTAACTAACTAACTAACTAACTAACTAACTAACTAGCTAACTAACTAACGTTCCAGTTTATTTTTGAACATAAATTCTATTAATAAATTAAATATCGATTTAATAAATTAATTAAAGCAACTTATTTGAATGCCGTAAATATTAATTTAACAATTAGCACGAGTGAAGGCTTTCGATAGCTGAAGTAAGGCTAGACTAATATTAATTGTTATTCTTTAATCAAATCGATTTAAATTGTGCTGGAAAATTTTTAATGTTCTAATAAACATAATATTAACGTGATAATTAATATAATAACAAGTAAGCGTATAGCAGACGTTTATCCCGAATCTTATATATATACCAACAGAAGATGTTTTGCAAAATCAAAGCTCTGGAAACATTGCTGCATACTCTGCGAATTGATAAGATATGAAGCAGTATTGACAACAGTGTGGTACAGAGGCAGAAATTGTCGGAGAACGTAAGACATTGATCGCAACATAAAGATCATGGTCATGCGGATCACTAGAGCAAACACTCGAAACTGGAAGCCTTACCGGGTTTGGGTATCTACTTACATAGAAATCGAAATGTACCAAGCGAAAGGATTTATGAAGGAACTCTGTTTAATTTTTTGACATTGCCAAGCTTTGTTGAAATTAGAACTAAAAATTTTGGGTGCGATGTTATATCGTATGTTCTAAGGATTACATACAGGAGACTGAGTTTCTGAATCATTAGACGTTAACACCTTTTAAAAATGATTCACAATAGGCTATATTCACAATATGATGTTCACAACATACTTCATTTTAACTTAAACTTCAAATTGATATTAAAATTATATGTATATTTTATTTCC